GTTCGGGGTTCAAACGTTATCCGAATTGAGATCCGTAAAATCCTACGCTCTCGTGACAACCAGGGGATCACATTGGGACAAAAATTCCCCTCTGATACAGTGCCCATGCGCCGCCACACGCGCTGGCAGCGCGTGGGTGTCCAAAGCGATATCGCATCGCCGGAAAATCTCAGAATCTCGAGCCAAGACTCCTACCCTAGGTAATAAACCTAATTTGGAGCCACTTTTGTTCTTGGACATACCCCAAAAAGTCAACGGAAGTGGCTGAAAACGGAGGTCGAAACTGGCAGATTTTTCAACTCGAAAATCGACTTGCCTACGCTAAAAATTGAAGCAATCCTATCCAACCAGCAGCTAGATCAGGAAAAATAGGTCGAAATTCATACCTTACACGTCCAATTTGGTGGAGAAATGAGGGAGAACAAGCAGCTGGAAGTTCTGTAAAAAACCAGCGCGTTTTTGGCAGTTTTCCGACGAGATTCCGGCGTCTCCAAGGGCGGGGGCTGGCCGGGAAAGGAAGAGGGAGTGGCGGGGGTGCGATCTGGTCCGGTCCCATGACCGGTGGCTGCCGGGGGGGGCTTGCAATAGGGAGAGAGAGAGAGAGAAATCTGGTTTTAAAACCAGTTTTTCAAAATTACAATTTTGCCCCTCCTTCAATTTTTCTCGTATCTCTCTCGTTATAACTCGGATTCGAGTTCGTTACATGTCTACGGACTCGTTTCGATGTGCTCTACGCAACGGTATAACCGGAAGTCCCAAATTCCTTCCCGAACTTAAAATGACAATTTTTACCCCTTTTTAAAATTACGTAAATATTTATTATTTTCAAAACCCTTAATTAATTCAAATCACTTTATTTTTATTGTTTATTTCAACTAATTTCCTCATTCAAATTTATTTCCTCATAATTTAATTATTTTATTTCTTTTTCGGACCGGGATGTTACACAAGCTGTCTTGTATCCCACTAAGTCTCTAAAATCTTTGTAACTTTTCTCCTCCATTCAAATAAAATTACCTTGTTACTCTTTCAAAAAAATTTCCATTCCACATAAATTTGTTGTCCTAAATACTAAAACCAACCATTCTCTAAATCCCTTCTCCTTTAAACTAATTGTGGTATCAGAGCTTGTTCCAATCAACTTTGGGCGTTGGTTCACTCTAGTCCTCCATCATGTCTACCACAAGCCAGAACTCTGACCTCCCTCCTATTTTCACTGGAGAAAACTATGACTTTTGGAATATTAAAATGAAGACCTATTTTATGTCTCAAGATTTATGGGACACAGTTGATAGTAGCTTCAATAATCCAGAAAATCCAATCATGGAACAGTTGAGGCAACTAAAGAAGGATCAAGAAAAAGATGCAAAGGCCTTATATGCCTTGCAACAAGCCTTGCATGATACGATTTTTCCAAGGATGATGAGAGCCACAACTATAAGGGAATCATGGAATTCCTTAAAGGAGGAATTTCAAGGCAATGCCAAGGTACGTGCAGTTAAACTACGTACAAACTTTGAGAAGAGAGTTTGAAAACATTAAATGAAGGATTCTGAGACCACACAAGACTATTATGTTAAAACAAAAACAAAAATTAATCAATTAAGAGCCTATGAGAAAATATTAATGATTCAAGAATTGCAGAAAAAAAATACTTATAAGTCTTCCTGATAAGTATGATCCTTTAGTTACTGTCATTGAACAGACAAAAGATTTAACTAGTCGGTTAGTGACAAAACTAATGGGCTCTCTTGAAGCATATGAGAAAAGACTGAGTAGGCGAAATGAAAATTCAGTTGAAAGCACCTTACAGTCAAAACTAAATTAAAGGTCTCAGAAAACTAAAGAAGGGGAAAGGAAATTTGGAGAAAGTTCTAGAAGAGAAGATTATAAATCCAATAAGAATTGGGGAAATAAAAAAGAAATAAAGGAAAGAAAAAACTGTCCTCCTTGCGGGGTGTGTAAAAATACAAACCACCTAGAAAAATATTGTTGGTTCCGTGGCAAGCCCAAATGTGTTTTATGCTCATCAAGCCACACCAGAAGGAACCAAAAAGAAATGAGATATTGACAGCGGCTGTAGTAACCACTTGACTGGAGATGAAAGCATCTTCTCCAACATAGACAAGTCCGTAAAATCCCAAGTAAAACTGGGAAATGGAACACTGGTGGAGACAAAAGGAAAAGGTACAATCTCTATCCAAACTAATAAAGGAACTAAATATATAAAAGATGTTCTACTAGTACCTAGCCTGGAGCATAATCTATTAAGTGTTGGACAAATGATTGAAAATGGATACTCTCTGCACTCTTCTAGAGACTCTTGCACAATATTCAATAAAAGAAATAAAAATCACATAATAACAAAAGTAAGGATGGAAAATAGAAATTTTCCCATCAAATGGAAATTTGTAAAAGCCACGGCCATGAAAGCAGAAGTAGAAGATTCATGGTTATGGCATAGAAGATTTGGCCACTTTAATTTTTATGCACTAAAAACTCTTTATCAAAAGAATATTATGAGAGACCTTCCAAACATAAAAGAGATCCATGATGTCTGTGAAGGTTGCCAACTTGGCAAACAACATCGACAAGCATTTCCATCTGGAAA